AGCTCTACTGGTACTAAATTTATTTATCTCGTGACTTTGGGTGTAATTTGTAGTTATCTATATGTGTCCATGCCACCCGCGACACAGGGTTTCCTAGTCCGGGGCTATGAGTGTATGCGTTATTAATATATTATTATTAAAGGCAAAAGATATCGGATGACTTCCTATGTTTTCGCGATTGTCACACATGCACATAATAACGGGGCCAGTCGTAACAATGGGACGTATAAAGGGCCCGAAACGTTGGTTTGTTTGAAAAACCAAATTTACGTGATATATGTATATCCGAAAAAATAGTTTAATTTCCTATATCGGTTCATATCTTGACATTTCAGATCACTGTTGCCGTTTAAATTACGGTTTCTATTAAATTATATTTCAAGCTATTGAATATTCTTTTGCCTTACAGAATTTGATATCATTATCTCTAACGGTAGAATAATGTAAATAATTGTGACCCCTTTGTTTCCAGTACAAGCAGAAAAGGTTAGGTAGTAACCTAACCACATAAAAGAAACTAGTGACTCTAAACTACTAATTTTGTTCAGATAATAGTGTTTATTTTGTGGTATGCTTAATTTCCTACATGTTATGTAACTTTGTTTTGTTTATAAGAAGGAATAGAGCAAAAAGAATTGCAACTTATAAAGCTTCCAAGAAATCGAAAGTTTTTAAGTATCACAAACTTTCTCAATGTTTTCACATTTGGTTTTAATTTGGTAAAATGTAGATCTATCTCAAAAGATGATATTGGCCTGAAGATCGTTAAAAATATTGTCGAATTTCCAATGAAAACATCTGGTAAGTGCAACGACATCTATGTACTAGCGTAGATGAGGTTGTTTGTTTATTAGGTGTCAATGTGATGACAAAATGTGAGGACTGACAAATCAAAGTCAAAGTCAAATAATATATTCCATATGTAAAATAAAATTTACACTTGAAAACGTCACTTTTTCACTTGTTCACTGTGCTGACTTCCAGAGAAGAACGAGCAAGAAACTCTAGGGATTGCTCTTTTCAAATAAACTTAAATGCTCTGGAATACACTTTAGAACCACCAACAGTCGCACGAAAACCTGCCATTTTACCTTATGTGTGTTGCAGACAAGATCGGAAGAGTCCTTAGGTGTGCGTCTATCAAGACCTATTTCAAGCCCCTGAGAAAGATTTCTCAGTTCCTGAGACCCGTGAAATGTAACATCCCCTTACAGGATGTAGGAGTTTACAAACTTGACTGCGAGCGCGGTCTTTAGGTATATTGGGCAAACGAAGCGAAGTATGTGCACCCGCAATGATATTAGACCTGTGTACCCGCGTCAAAGAACAATAGTTGATATCAAACACCGCCGCGTAAAATAAGTCTACAGTTTGTGAGCATGTCATGGATAAATCTACACACTCCACTAAGTTCGGCAAACCCCACGTCCTTGCAAAAGAAGTCCGTTATCTAGCCTGAATGCTGGGAGAGGCCATTGAAATTAAAAAAAAACATTGTAATTTCAACAGAGACGATTTTTTGACCAGTTTGGTACCCTTTTTCTCTGATTAAAAATCCCAAACCGACATAAGACTAATTTGTAAGACATGTGTAGCGTAAATTGAAATGTTTCTTTGCAAAATTGAAAATAAGGAATTTAATTAATGTCTTTTACACCTTACTAGCTCGGAAAGGCTTTTTTCTCATTAGAAATCTGCGTACAAAAGAGTTTTTTTGGGAAAAGCGGAAAAGGTTTATGAAATTCGAACTTAACGATGGACTGTGGTGCACCTACCTTATTCTTTCGATTAAAAAAAAACCAATGACACATTCAACTACGCGATTTGTCGTACATTGTCTTAGAGGATGGAAAAAAGTGAAAAAAGTACATTATTGACATTAAATTGACAACGACAACTAATTTTTTTTAAACTGATATGATATATCAACGACTTTTTAGTCGTAGCGACATCTATGAGAAATCTATGAAAGATTTATCACCCAGTTAGTACCTTTACAGCTACCAGTCCTGGCGAGTGATGTCGGTATGCAAGAAGACGTCGGTTCGAATCCGACCGGATCGAAGGAATTTTTTCTGAGTGTTCGATCTTTGTATTAATAATTATAACAAACTAGTAGAGTAATTTCACAAAAAATAATTGAATATCAATTCAATAAAAATGTAATTAATACAATGAATAGCGACATCTCTCGCCAGGACTGGTAGCTGTAAAGGTACTAACTGGGTGATAAATCTTTCATAGATTTCCCATAGATGTCGTGGAAAAAGTTTTTGAAATTTGAACTTGACGATAGATTGTGGTGCGCCTAACTTTTTCTTTCTATGAAAAAATTGTTATTTTTAATTTTTTAAATATTTATTATTATTAAATTATTTTTACCGACTTCAAAAAAGGAGGAGGTTCTCAATTCGACTGTATGTTTTTTTTGTATATGTCACGCGATAACTCCGGTATTTGTGAACCGAATTTCATGATTCTTTTTTTGTTGGAAAGGGGGTACTTCTATAGTGGTCCCATTTCATTTTGAAGAAAATCATCCACCTCGAAGGGTAGCTGTTCACGTATGAAGATTCATTTTTATAAATAGCGCCTAACTTTAATTTAGGAGCAATTACTTTAATGGTTGATTTTGCTATTTCTCCAATTCAAGGCGTTTTTCTCTCGATATACTTTGAGTAGTGAGAACCGATTTTTATTATCTCCAGTGTCAAGTCCTGTATAGTGGCGAACTAGGTGATATTGCAATAAAACTTAGCAAATAGATGTAATTCCGCGTACTTTTGAGGTCGGTTTTTTTAGTACTCTGTACTGAGATTATTATAATTCGTCGAAGAACTAAACTGATGATTCTGATTCAACTGTTTTTCTTTCATCTAACATTTTCCTCGCTATAGTGAGGTAAAAAGTTGAGTGTTTCGTTCGGCAGCAACGTTGTTTTGCGTCTCATGCCTTGAAACCCTTGCTACACTCATGATTCTATTTTTGAACCACTCCCTTCACTCATGGTTCAATTTTAGACTCCTTCACTTGATCAGGTTTCATTACAAGCACTCGCGTCAAACAAGCCTTGCATAACAAATAACTATTGTAATGATAGTGAAAAATAGGGTGATTTGCATTAATATTGGGCATAACTGGTTGAAAACTTTACCATCTCAGTCAGGCGTGACTATGAGACGTTTTAATTTTTTTCAAATAGACGTTGGTTTATTTAAAAAAAGAAAAAACAAATATACGCTATTTGAATTCGAAAAAATAGTTTCATTTCTTATGTGTAACAACCGCGAAAACCTAAGAATTGGATAAATACACTTTCAATCAAATTTATGTGGAATTTAGAGTTATGTCATTTTTCCACTCATCTTTATCGAGAAATAACACGTAGCCTTCAATTTTGTAGTATGATTTTTCAATTAAAATACTTTTCATGTAGGTTTTAAACTTAATCTTAATGTACATATACTCCGGAATCTCGTGGTAAAAACGTAAACAGCAAGTACAAGCTGACAATGGTGGTTAACTGCATTATAGCTTGAGAACAAAATCTCCGCGATTTTTATAATTTTATATACTCTCAATAGCGATATATATATTTTAGTTTATAGTAAAAAGATATTACAAAACACGAAAAAAATCAACGATTTTTGCGTTCAATTGATCCCTGCAATTATGTCCATGCTAATTAAATTTAAATAGTTTATTCCTTCATATCGTTTCAAAGGTAAATAAAACACAATATACGAGTATAACTCTAAGCATTATTGATTTACTGTTACAATTTGATTACGCTATTACTAAAGATAAGGACACATGTCATGTTTTACGGCTTGTATAGGTCGGTAACATAACTTTTTATAGTCCATTACATCTCTTTACGCAGTGTAACAACAACAATTCTTAACTCAGTGCGTCGTCACGTAGTTGGGCTTGCATGCGATTGAATCGTGACTAACTGCTAGTGCAGTTGCTCTAGCATCTCGTGAATGATGCAATCGGCCAAACTGCACGCCGACTGCTAATCAATTGCTATTTTGCAAGTGCTATGCAGTTCGTGTACACCTTTAATGAAGACACTCGTGACTCGGTATTTACACCCCATTGCAAGTATTGTGAAAACAGTTATTATTATTTCATATAAAGCGGCCACTAGACCTGTGTCAGTATCAGTTTTAGAAGAATAATATTTAAATTATGGCGATCATCGCCAGTGTCTGTGAATAATCAGTGAAAAGGGTTTTCTTCAGTGTAATTCGTATGATTAATAGTGACTAGAACTTTAGTTGTTAAATTCACATCAGTTTTAATCATCATTGACTCGTATAATACATTCTACCCTCTAACATTTGAAACGAAAAGGTTTGGGAACTTGTTACTCATTGACCCCATAAGAGATACAATAACTTAATTACACGAACGAAACTAGTAACATAGAAATCGTAAGTTTTTATCATCTTTCATCTCGTTATCCACAATGACAAAATCATGAATCCTTTGGTCAATCTAATAACAAAAAAATCTAGAAAATAATCTCAATCATTTAATATTTGACTATACCGCAATTTCCAAAACACCATTACATACAGACGACGAAATGAAAGATTTGAACAAATGTCCAATAACTTGAATGCTCTATTAATAACATGCTGTCTCAATATCTGCTTTGAAAATGTAAGGGACAGTACTATATTAATTTTAAAATCTCTACAAGCCACTATTACATGCAAAGTATTAGCCTGGTCTCTATTTTCAGCAAGAGGGTAACGATAACGATTTTCCTTTGAGCCACTTTAGATCCTAAATACGAATACGCATTATTATACAGAGAAAAAAAAAATTGTCGCTGAAGCAAACGTTATCCAACAGGAGCCGAAAAAATGAAGACGATGAAAAATGTTACCATATGTATTCATAGATGAGAGTATGACGGATGGAAAAAAAATAAGAGTATGATCGTATTGACTTTTATTAATTGCATTTTATTGTGTAGTATTATTATTGCCACTAAAGAAATAATATTATTACATTTGAGTTATCTCAGGTTCTGTTATTACAAAACATAGTGATTTTATCCTTAGTAGTAATATGGGTGGTTTGTTCTCCCATTTCTTATATTTCTCAGAAAAGTAATTCTTTTACAATGTTTTTTGGTATAAGTACGCTTATTTTATTTGTGTTCAATTACATTATATGTTTATCTTATTGATAAACTAAGGGCGCCTTCAAATTAGACGTTTGTAGAAGCGTTGACGCGACTGTGCTGCGGCAGCCGCGCGTTTGCAGCGTTACAGTAATTTTTAGGTTACTAATGTGACTGCAAAAGTGGCACTGTGGCAATCACGACAGTGGCACGCAACCGCGCTTCTAAATATTGTATTAAAAAAGCGCTTCTAAAAGCGTCTAGTTTGAATGTTCCCTTAGTATAATAAATAAACCACGTAAATTTTCAGGCTTTCGTGTTTATTCCCAGTACGATTGTAGTTACAAGCAGATACAAAAGTCTTTTTATTATTTATATATTTGTGCCTAGTGGCAATAGTTTGATATCTGGATATATATTAGTATAACCATTGGTCCTGAATTTAAAATACAGCTACTTATTAGTGACAGTAACTTAGTAGCTATTAGAAATATTTTTGTCATTAAAAGTCTCGATCTTGAAAACCGCCGATTGAGCGCCCAGTTACACGACGCGAAAGTTATCGCGCGGCCGCCGCGCGGTAACCGCCCAGTTCGTTAATGGCGAATCTGAATTCTATTCTCACTAGTTCTGTTGTACAGTTCTGCCGACAGGACTACCGGCAAGACGCCGCGCGGCCGCCGCGTAGACCAAAGACAAGCCAGACTCGCCCGCGCCCCGGACGCTCATTTAAGTTAAAACGAAAAGCTAAATAATTAGAGCGTAATTTGCCATAACAGTCTCTGAACACGTGCACGCGGTCTCACCGCGACGGCCGCGCGGCCTGAGTGGGACGAAATTCGTGCAAATAAATGCGCCCTGAGTGTAGAGTTGCAAAAATAACTAGGTTTTTATTATTATTAATACAAAGATCGAACACACAAGAAAAACTCTCGAAAAAAGACACGAATCAGCATCTGTTGCCACACAGTGGCCACCGCTTTTACCAACTGAGCTACATAATTCGTTTCTTTCTATTTACAGGTTTTCTATGTGCTTGTCTGCCTTACTCCTGATTTTGTGTCTAGTCGTTACTCTCTTGGCCATGCTACTTGTAGGAATCGGTCTTGGCTACAACTATTGCTACGTGGGTAACAAGAACAAAACTAAAACAAGATATTGTAAGACAATTTGACGTTGTTTAATCCATATATTTGTTACATCGAGTATATAACCAGAAATAGAGACGAAATGTCATTTAATTTGTTCGAAAACCATTCTGCCATATCATTACTGTGACAACTGCGCTCCGATTGGCTAGCCCGAGTTCGAAACAATTGACGGGTGTCGTCAATTGTTTCAACTGTTTCACTTCAAATCGACTCTCAATCGAACTTTAGCTTTGCTATAATGGACGAAATTTGCAAACTTACATATTTATTATTTAATTACCGATGAAATGTGATTCCGTTTGTTTTGTAATTAGATGTTTTGCTGTTTTTCCCACACCACGAATAGAACAGCACGGCATTGTTAGAGATATTATTTTTGTTACAATAAATACAGAATATTTTTTGGAATATACGGAGACGTGCACCCACCTCAGTAGTTGGCCTGTCTATATTTCAGTGCAAACGAGAGTTGATATTTAGAAGAGCTGTATCGCTAATGTGTTACCAGAAATATATGGCCCTTATTTCGTCTCTATTTCTGGTTATATACTCTATGATTTGTTATGAGTTTGACGACCTCAGTGGTCGAGTGGCTGCACACCGGTTTTCATGTTGTCGCTACCTCTGAGGTCCCGGTCGGGTCAATGTAGAAAAACTAACTGTTCCATATTGTCTCGGGTCTGGGTATTTGTGGTATCGTTGTTTCGGATTTCCATAACACAACTGCTTTAGTGACTTACTTTACTGGAGAAATATTTGTATGGCCTACATTTATTTATCTTGTGAGTCTGGGCACACCCCGGACACCCCATACAGCAAGGCGCTATCTTCACACGCGCAAATGTGTGCGTGAAGTGGCAGGGTTACCCATCACTTGGTCGTACTATTAACATAGCGAAAATTCCAACGCGAATCTGTTATCTATTAAGTATTCTATTTATGGAATTCTTATAATTACACATGTTCATTACTTATTTATATCGATATAATATTATATTTTCCATTAATTCACTAACTAGAATAATATTGAAGATTTATTTAAAAAATATATTAAAAGTACTTACAATGTTATATTTTGGACAGGTACCTTTAAATAAAGTAACCAAGGTATTTGAAACTGCGTGTCCAAATTTAACATTACCTAATTAATATTTAGGTATATTCACTACGTAATATTTATCGGCAACACAAGTTGAAAATTCGAGAACCGTTGTCTAGCTCACAAGTTATGGCGTCTTATTATATTGATATAATAAATCTGTATTATATATTACTCAGCACTAAAGAAAACAATAACTGAATGAGTCTCAGACATAAGATTTTTTACTTACTTCGTTTCATCTTTATCCCGTTTAGATGATTATAAACAGCTGTGCACAGCACAATTCACGACCATTATAAATAGTAACGTAAAATGATGTTATAAATTAACGTACAAATTCCGTAAAGAATAAATGAAAACTATATTCAAATATCAAAGCCGCCTCAGAGCGAAAACGGCTCGCCGACAGCCTTGTTCTCGTTGAGTCAATGTGCGGGACGTGGCGCGGTATCTAAAGCTAGGGAGGGGCGGAGAGTGCCCGTTCTCGTTACTTATTTGTTCTCTGGTTTGGGTGTAATTTGTCGTTGTCTATGTATGTGTCCATGGCACCCGCGACCCAGGTTATCCCTAGTGCGGAGCTATGAGTGTGTGTGGGTAAAAATATAAGTAATTATGTCTAATTAAAATTACAGGCACATGGGACTTGTCAAATTAGTCTCAGGGTGACGAGCCCAGGGGCAGCACCCTGAGTTCTTTACGTTTTAAAGCTCTGTGTGGTACTGCAACTGTTATTGACAGGAGTGTCGGTTACCACCAGGCCCACCACTTGGTCGTCCCGTCTCTTGGTATCATAATATATATACAGGGTGTACATTTGAGACGGGGCAGCAAGGCCAGCCACCTTTATTTTTTGTCTTTGTTTAAATTTAGTTCTATTAAATGTGTGTTTGAGTTAGAGGCTGCTGACACAAGTATTTCATTATTCAGTTGTTTGGTCTGAACCACCGTATAGAAAAAAAAAAATTGTTTTTATTTTGGTTCTCATAAGTGAAGTGAAAAATATATGAATATTAATAAATTTTTTATTGATTTCAGCACTTACACAAGATCGACCACAGTATCCAGGATATGGTAAGCATCACAATATCACACTATTTCCAAGGCATAGAACACGCAAAACAACGACAGGAGGGGTGCAAAAACGCCAACGATATTTTAGTAGTGACCGATCAGGGTTAACACGAGGTCCTTCTTTGGAAAACCCATGGAACCACGAAGTTAGCGCAGACCGTGTTGCTGCAAGCGCAACAATTGTAGATACTGAGAATATTGATGACATTGAATATAACACTCGAAAACAATACGCTCAAAATAGACAAGTTAATATAAAATTAACTAACACAAGTAATGAAAATCAAAAGAATCTTCAACTACAAACAACCAACATGAAGAATAAGGATAATATGGTGGCACGATTTAAACAATATGATGAAATTGACTCAAAGATGTTAGAATTTTTACAAAGTAACGACTATGAAACAAATACTTTGGGAAAACATGGAATGACATTATATCCAATCCGACCTTCTGAAAACGGTTATAATTCGACATATTTGAAATATTTGAAACTAAAGACTACAGAAAAATTGCCAGCGCACGAGGATACTGAATATAATAATAATGTAGCAGTAACAGTAACTTCTAAAAATAGTGATTTTAAGATTACAGACAACAAGAAAATGTTAACAATAAGTGGATTAGATTTAATGGCAGTGTTATCGCAACTGAGAGCTGAAAACCGTAATTATTCTTTGCAAATATTAGTTTAAATAATTGTATTAAATATTTATGCTTTTAGACATTAATTTATTTTAGAAGACAATTATGTGCTTAGACGCTTAGATCCATTTATAAACGTAGCGAAATATATTTTTCAAGCTGTTTTCTTTATAAACAAGTTCTTACAGTGCATAAAAGTGCATAGTAGTGATCTCCTAACCGTATTTGTTAATCGACGAAGGGTACTCGCCGATTATTGCCCTTTCATGTGAAAGGAATGGTACGTCGTGCGGGGGGGGGGGGGGGGTACCTTTCCTTTCTGCCCCCCCCTCCCCCGGCCGGGCCCTGTACTCAATTATTGTCAAATATCGAGTTCTTAGGTTTTCGCGATTGTTACACATAGGAAATGAAACTATTTTTGCGGATTTAACATCAGTCAACCGTGACAATGGGACCTGTAAAGGGCCTGAAACGTCGGTTTGTTTGAAAAAACAAATATACGCGATATAAATCCGGAAAAATAGTTTCATTTCCTATTGTCAAATAAGTAATACTTGAGTAAATTAAAACACGCATGATGAGAATGAAGCTTCATACTTGACATTGTATTTTAATTTTCTCGAGTATTACTAATTTGACAGTAATTTTTTCGGACAGATGTTGGACGAAGAGTAGACCCCTTTGAACAGTTTTTTAATATAATAATTGTGTATAGAGAAAGTGAATTTCGAGTACACAGTGTATGGCAAACAGCCACGTAGCGTTATAGACACCGCATCAGTGTCAATATTCTGTATTATTAAACGTACTAACTAAAGCGCTGCCACTTTGTACAGTGTCATGGCATTACTGAAGCTGATCACTCCTCGGTAGTGTTGTTAAGTTTGTATGTCCGTCCACTCAAGCAATAACACTATTCGACTACGGTATAACAAAACATTGAAAAGTGAGCTTTAAATCGGATTCCGTACAGTTTACATTGAAGTTTTGGAGGCCTATGTTCAGCAGTGGTCATCTTCCGGCTGACATGATGATACTTTGAAATACAAAACGTACAAGTGGGCAGCGCCAAAATAGTGCTTAATGAAAATTTTTCTTTTAAACAATTTAATTTTTCTAAAAGTTTTTTAAACTGTCGTTGTTATACTTCAAGACTCCAGGCTCAATTTACATTGCTGCGGAACGGAAAAGGAACGAATTTATTTGTATATAGCATAACAAACTTTGTCAATTGTGTAACGTACAAAATAGATACGAGACGGCAGTTGCGGCAGCAGAGGACAACGGCGTAAGTTAATGACGACCTTAACGCGAATTGAACATCTTATAAACCCTCGATTAGTTGCTGGAACACAGCTGTTCTTGCCTCCATTTACAGGCGCTATGCAGCACGCACTTCGACATCATTCTACAGATGCATTGTTCCAGGATATTGATAATTAACCGAGGAGATGAAATTATTTTCTACGATCCTAACATAAAACCTTAATCTAACTTAAAGTTTGCCAAGTTTGTTAATTGTCAATGTTTAAATGGCACTATAGACGACTCTAACCAATGCAGCGATGTCAAAGGAAAAGATTGTTTTTAAATGAAAATGTTCTGGAGTAATAAATTTCTTAATGAATGTTTAATTTGTCCTTAAATACATTAACGTATTTGAATACTTTTGGTAAGTTTAGCAGAATTATTTTATTATGGGGTTTTCAGGTTTGGATCAAATAATTGAATAAATGCCGTCAGGTCTGCTGCCTGCAAAGTTTTTTTTCAATAACATGACCCTTTGTCGTGAGTGCCATGGACACACACATAGAGAACCACAAATTACGCCCAACTCACGAGAGAAATAAATGTAGGCCATACAAACATTTCTCCCGACTCGAGAATCGAACCCGAGACCTCTTGCGTGGCAGTCCAGCATGATAACTGTTCGGCCACGGAGACAGTGTATATAATACACAGGCTCAATTTATATTGTGGCGGAACTGAATGGAAGTGAAATTTTGTAACATAGCATAATGCAACGACCAAAATCTTTCGCGGAAGATTTTGGCTTGTTTCTAGTTTGTACGTTGCACAATTGATCATAAAGTTCATTATGCTATGTTACAAAATTTCGCTTCAACTCCGTTCCGTCGCAATACAAATTGAGCCTTATGTATGGGTATAGAAGTAATTTTATAGGTTGTGCAGTATTTATGAGATTAAATTGTGAGTTTTCTCTTGAGTATGTAATTTAATGTAAAGTAGCAGGCAAACGAGCAGACGACACTGAATGAGATATGGTCAATGTCTACGAAAAGAAACGAAATGAAAGCTATTATAAATAAGATCATTGTATAATAATGAGAATAACCATAGAATGACCTATTTTTTAAGGTTTTTAAGTAAGAATAGTTTTTCATGTTACCAAGTGACGGGACGAACAAATCGTGCGCATGGCGGTAAGCTTCGCGAATGTCTATAACAATTGCAGTGTCACTCGGGCCTTTAAATTGCAAAGATCTAAGGGGCACTATCACTGCGCTCGTCACCCAGGATATAAGTTGAAAAGTCCATCCTTCAAACCCGGAATGCAATAATGCTCACATTACTGCTTGGCGGCAGAAATTGGTAAGGTTCCCTGGACGAATTCTTTCATAAAGAGCTCTACCGTTACTATTTGTTAACGTTTTATCAAGTATTTGCGAAAACCTAATATAGAATAGCAACGCAGATGGTTTACCAGACTTTTTCGATGAGGCAGCCAAACTTTGTCATGTTTTGACAGTGACAATATTTTTTGCTTACGTCGATGAGCAAAATTTACCAATTGGCCGTCATTATATGTATATAAAGATAATATAAAGAATAATGAATTCACAGGACATTGGCGCAATCGCCATATTTTTTGTATAATTTTTATAATAATATTAAACTACCGTACATAGTTGTTTTTACTTGACATTGGCAAAATCATTGATTATTTCGATGGAGCCATAACATTTAAAAGAAGAAGAAGATAAAGAATAATATTAATAAAATTTGCCAATGAAGTAATACAACACAAATCACAGAAATACTCTATTTTTAACATAACAAGTGTTTTTAATCTGTGATGGAAACCTGCTGTGAACTAGTAAAATACCAGACCACATTTTTTTGTGTATTTAGATGAAGAAATGAAGTTAAGTCTTCAGTGTTGTCGATAAATCAGATCAATGAATGACGTCAACATAATCGAGCGTAATAAATTCTTATAGTACTATGTGGTAAGGTTTGTTTTTGATTATTTAGTATTTGTAAAAACAACACCGACAGTAAATTGTTGTTTTCTTTTTCAGTGTGTTAGTCAAGTTGATTTGCTGTCTTGCTCCTTTAGTCCTCGGAGTGTGGTTGGGGGTCTATTTGTATAACCTTACAAAGAAACATTTTAAAGAGCTTCCTTGACAGTAAACTGCAAGTAATAAGGGCTCGTTTTAGTCATCTTAGAGATTTTCGTAGCGTATAGTCTGCGAAACTGCAGTTGTACAGCGCTAAGTAAATTTAGTATTCTTTCGAGATTCGAAAGCTGAAAAATGCCACCCTAAAGACGTAGTTTCTTTTTGTGTATGTTCAAAATTGATTGGCCCATACTAACTCACTTTTGTTTTTTTTTTTTCTTGTATAAAGTGACTATGTCCTTTAATAGGACTATAGATATTTTTGTACGAGAAATCAACCACATGACTTTGATTTCGAACTGAATTATGCAGGGAATGAAAAAAAATGTTGTGTACTTTTCATCTATTATTTTCTGCTCTCTTTATACCTTTATACCTTAATAAGCTACGCATAGATAATTTGATTAGTTTAATATAAGCTGCACCTATTTGTCGTTGAACCGTACTCTATTGTTTTATATATTATACTCTCGATAAAACTTTTTAGAGCAGCGACGTTTGTGGTAACTTATTTACGTGTGAGAAGGAGGGTGAAAGATTTTTAGTCTTGTTCTGTCGCTCTTATATGGATCCAGACACATCACGAGTGACATGACGTGGCTTCACTATTATTCGCGACCGGGAATGATAAGAATTTTGAGACGTTATCGTGTATGTATGTATGTAAACACTTTATTGTACAACAAAATCAAATTTATAACAAAGAAATAAATCGTTATTGTACAAAGGAGAGCTTATCCCATAAAAGGATTTCTTCCAGCTAACTCTTGAATATTGAAAGTTGGCTCCTGAACCGGCAATAAAATCTAAATAAAAATAAAATAATGAAATTGAATGCTACTAAATAATTACAAGAATAAATTTATTATATCAAATGTACACACGATGTGTTCATACTATTAAGTAAATAATGTTATACTAATACATATCATCATCATTTCAGGCGAAAATATGTCTGCTGCTGGCTATAGGCCTCCTCTAATGTCGCTACAAGGTGACATATTCACAATTAATAACTTGTGAGTTTTAATTGTAGATACTTAGGTTAAGAGCAGCGGCAAAAAAATCTTGCAAAACAGTAATCACGTGTAATGTTTTTTGCTATTATAATGTTTATAAAATTATTTTTCTTTTCAAAGTCGGAATAAACAAGTCTTGAGCGGCATTCGTGACAACCACGAAGTCGATGTCAGTAGGATGCGTAAAACATTATTAAAATTATAAACTTGAGTGCAGCAGTTTAAACTGGCAATTATTATTAGTGTCATATTCAAATTATTATTTATTTATTGTTTGAAATATTTACAGCTAATTTTTATCAATAGATATGACAGTGCTAGAAATCTCCACAAGTAGCACAAAAAATTGGTTATTAAAGTTTTAGTGAGCTGAAACTAAAACATTATTAATGAAATATTATTTACTACAGATTATTTTACATATTGAGAAATCACAGGTACACGTGTCAAAGTAGGGAATAAAGAAAAATATTTGCCACATACAGCCCAACCAACTGCATGCACTGTTAACATAAATCACACAAAAAACGAAACAATGCGTGATAGGTAATTATGCAAAATATTGCCTAGTAAACTTACGTATGTTATATAAAGTCTGTTTATTTAAGTAGGATATGGTCTGGCTTTGGAAAGAACTTGTAACCGGGGATCTGCTATTGCATCCGTCACCCTGAGACATTAAGTTGAATAATAGTATGTCTGTAATTTCACCAGCACTCTAAACCCTTCAAAATCGGAATGCACCAATGGTCACATTACTGCTTTGCGACAGAAATAGGTATATGATTATCAGTAATATACCTACCCTCTTGCGCTGCAAGAGCAGACAGATATGTACTGCTCTTAAAGCTGTCATCTGTCGCCGTCCAGTCAACCCGTGACCATGGAGCGTGCAACCGTTCCGAAATATCGGGAAAATAAAAAGAAGTCATACCGTGGTAAGAAACCTGATATTAATGATAATCATTTAATGAATAACCACCAAAGTCTTAAAATCTATATAGAAATAGGTATAGTTTATAGGTATAACGCAAACAACGTTAGCGTTGATAACTTATGTTTCGTACTTCGACTGGAAAAGGACATTATATTCGCAAATTTATTTACATCTTTCTTATAGTTTTTATTTTTTTATTTTATTTAATTTATTTACATATTTCTTACAGTTCAATACTGTTTTTTCCATGCAAGATTGCATGCTACTTGTTACCATTCCTTCTTGGCGAAGCTTTGGGATTTTTCGTGTTTAAATCGTCTAAAGCAGAATTTATGAATATCAAAATTAACAAAACTCGTTTAAGAATGAATTCACAATTCACAATTTATAATTGTGAAAGCTTTATTTATAGAAACAGGTACGTAATGATGTCTTAACTATCGTATTTTTAAGTTCTAGGTTTGCTTATTTTATTTTTTACACCTAATTGTAACTGTAAATTCATGAAAGATGTGGCACATTGCCAAGCTTTTTTATTATTACACCTCTACACTTTGAAATTGTATAAAAGTAGAAATTCGTATTTTTGTGCGATTTTTGAAAACTTTGAATAAAGTTTTTATTTACAATGGCGTTATTCTAAATTTTCTGATGTCTAACCTCTTACTTTATGACGTACAAAACATGTAAGGTAACGATATCTATGTACGGAATACTTTGTGTAAGGTACAATTTTCAACGAAGAATTTTAACAAAAGTGCATCTCAGCGTAGGAGCCCAGTGTACCCCTGAGTAAATTAAAATATTTAAGTTGAAATCTATAGATAATAGCCCACAAGGCTTGACACTTTGAAAGTTTTTATTACAACGGCATAAGAGAATTTAAATCATACGTGTTAATGACGTGTTCCTTTGAACGCTATGAGCAACGTGTTATTTTTTATTTACATTACAATAAACAATGGACATCAGTACCGTCAGGTCTCCCGCAGGGGACCCTTGTTATTCATCATCATTATCAATGACAAAGATTCTTTTTTTTATTCACTCGGAAAGCTTGCTCTTTGCTGATGATATGAAGGAGCTTAAGGTCATACGAGGGCAAGCAGATGTTGACTTTTTTAAGTAGATTTATAATCTACTGTGCCAGGAATAGACTTGAATTCAATGCATACAAATGTTTTTACAAGACTTTAGCACTAGTTACAAATTGCGTAGTATCAACATATTGAGAGTCAGGTAAATAAGGTACTTGGGTGTACTCCATGGCGGCGCGACAACTGCGCCACAGACGCGCCGCAGACGCTCCACCGCAGCAGCGCTTCTATCAGCGTTAATTTGAGAGCGCCCTTAGCAGGTAAGGGCAATAAATACCACGTTTTAAAATAAATACTTTTCATTGACATAGTTTTATTCTCGGCTGCACTTTTTAATAAGCAGTTGGGTGGGATAAATAGAAATTAAATTCCACTCATCCCAACCAGTGACGGTGTGGTAGGGAAGAGTGGAGAAAACGTCCATTTGTCCCCACCAAGGGGACAACTGGTAGGGACTAGCTTTTAATAAGCGCGTTTGGGCACTGCATCCGATTGATATTCGCTCCGAATCCGAGACTATACAAATCTAGAAAACTCCGACCCACTTCGGATGTCGCTTGTGCACTAAGTCCTATTCGAATTATCGTTCGTACACCTAGAGATAACAAGATCCCTGTGGTCTACTCTCGATCTCCGTTCGACATCCGTCCGACACAATTACTGTTAAATAAGTAATATTCGACAAAATTAAAAGACAAGTATCCAGTATGAACCTTCATTCGCATCACGCGACTTTTCATTTGGTCAAGTCTTGCTTATTTGGCAGTAATTGTTTCGGACGGATGTCGGGTATAACCCTTGGGTGTCACGATAGGGTGAGCTGCTTCAGATGGTCGGACGGAGATCGAGAGTAGACCCTTGATACGAATCGGACGTAGTGCGCACACGCTCTTAGTGAACTAATAATTACTGCAGCGCTTCTACAATAGTTGTACTGTATATTGTTTTGGCGCATTCCACGAATGAAATCGGTGACTATGATCTTTTGTTAGCTTAACATGGTCTTGAATTATAGTTTAGCACCTCCTTGTATGAAACCTATAAAACTAAGTTTTCTACCTCAACATACTCGCATAGCTCTTCGTTGCGCAAATACTAATTTGTGCAGGAACCGCTGTGTTTACACCATGTTTATATAATATCTCCGTACAGATCAAGAATTTGAGCAAATAATTAGATTTTCAAAAAGTTCTCGTTTTTATTCCTTCCGTGAAGTGATATGAAGACAAAACAGTAATTTGATGCGCAGTGCCGTGCAGTTCCTGCAATGTGAGCAAGGTCGTTCATTAATGGGTGGATTACTCAATATTGACTTTCGAATGGATATTGCAGGCCCAAAATTCTCATGCCATCATAATTAGTACAAAGAAAAAACATTTTTTTTTTCAAATATTTATTAAATAAAAAAATGCCAAAAACAATGCCCGAAAATAGAACAATTTAAAACGTGTCATAAAATAATAAACTTAAGACATAATAAAATAAAGTAAGAAAAAACAAAACAAAATAAACTTAATACAAAATATAGATCACAATATAAAATATGAAAAAGGCAAATAATATACAAATATAAAATAATAACAATAAATATTGAACTGGTTGGTTTGTTTTGTGTATTCTGTGGTTTACACTGTGCAGTGGATTAGAGACTCAAAAAAGACGAGAAAGAGAGAAGAATACTTTAAAAGTAACACTAAGAACTTTTATATCAATTTTATAAGTTGCTACACTACCGGACATGTAAGTCGAGTCACCTTGCACTTTAATTCTTAAAGGTCTGCACGACTTGTTCGTCCGGTCACTACCAAGTGATGCAAGATCGCTCGAATTCGTACTCACAGTTTAATAAAGCCACATATGACCATACGATGAGTCATAAAAATAATATAAACTGGGGTTATAAAACTCTCCTTTGTTCTTTTTAGCATAAAAAAGTTACCGACTAACTTCGTTCGTAGAGCGTTTAAATCTCGTCCCTGAAAAGTTGTCATTTTGCAAATTTGGCCTTATTGTACCAAGAGTGTTATAAAATAATGCTTTTATCGAGCAGCCCGTGATCCTACCGTGTTGTTCTACTGGTACTAACAATGGCAATCTTTTTGTTCGTGGTTCTACCAGTAGGACAACGGGCAAGTAACATTGATCGTAGTTCTGCTAGTAGTACCACAGGCATCACTTTCGTGTCCGTGGCTCTATCAGTAAGACTACGGGTAATCTAACTCGTGTTGCACTCCGTAATTAAAAGTGATCATCAACCCATTATACGTCCCACTTCTGAGCAAGGGCCTCCTCCGAGGAGAGTGCGTAGCTCTGGCCCTATATGGATTGGGTTTTGCGCACATTTTCCAGGGGTTGTGACCTTCTTAGGTATACAGGTTTCATCACGATGTTCTCGTTCACTGTCAGCGAGAGCTATTGCTTCTAAATGTACGTAACTTGTCAGTTAGTTATAGCGATGCGTAATTGCGAATGATTTCGATATTCGCCTCTTTACTTATTACTAATCCTGTCATTCGAATGACAAATCAGTAACCTACTAAGTAATTTTCGTTTTTGAATTATCTGAATGATCATTCATTACTAATTAGTATTACTTATCCATAGGTTCGTGATCACCCAGCCCTCTGTGACCTATAGTTAATAATGTAAACGTGACGGGGACAGGGAAATTTTGATATGGACATGGCGGAGTTTCGAGTAGTTCCAATATAATAGTCATTCGACTCGTACACCCGACCGAATGTCAGGGGCATTCGTTATCGGTAATCAGTCGACTCGAGTCAAATGATTATGCTTGGTTTCGACGAAGACGAATGATTTGCCCATTCGAATTATTAGTATTAGTAACATTCAAGTCGCGCACCGCCAGTTAATCATTGTTACATGCCGCCACAGGGATTGGAACCGTAGACCTGTCAACTGTGAAGGAACCGTAGACCTGCCAACTGTGAAGCAACCGCTCTCTCACTAGGCTACCACCGCAATTAATTAAATTAAAATCATAAGTCTAACACTTAAATACAGCTGTTCATCGTTATGTTCTATACACATTTACATGAAGCATTGCTCCTTGTTCAAGTGGCGTATTTATTCTCACTGTCTTTAGTTTAATAAGTAACTGTTTAGTCCAAGTTTAGATAAAAGCAATGACTTCGATTTTTGCAGTTCGTTATATTTATTGCTAAGTTTTTCGGAATAAAGACGTTGATGCTTAAACTGCGTTTTGCTCAAGTGTTGATTTCCATAGAGATTCGGCTGTTTTTGTTTTTGAGTGTACAAGCTGACACCAGCATTATCCTTATAAAGCCAAGTTGTCCGTTTATATTCTTCGCGTGGATTCTTCTTTCTTTTAGGCCTTTCGACCTTTTGAGCTAATTGTTCTTGTGGGTCATTGTCTTCTGTACTTCGATCTTCCACCAGTCTGCCTCTGAACATACTTAATTTGGTCCAATTAGTAAGAGTGTCAGTAGGAGTAGGTGCAGTAGGAGTAGGTGCAGTAGGAGTAGGTGCAGTAGGAGTAG